GTATTAATCTCTCTCTACGTCTAGTCAAACTTTGAAAGTAACATTTCGTCTTGTTAAAAAAATAATAGAAAAAAAACGAAGTATTTTCCACTTGAAAATATAAATCCGATAAAAATTTCTTTGACTGACTATATTCATACACGTATATACTACACAAGTAAATACGCATAAATCTGCTGGAGTATATCACTTATAAACTTACAAACTTTTATTTCGTAAAAATAAAAGATCTATGAAATCCGTAAATCTTATGGAGAACCAGCACGAGATAAGCCACGTTTCGTCGTAGTGCCGACGTCAATGAACGAATCGTCAAAACGTCTAATCGCATTTTAGAAACGATCATCGCGATGATCATTTTAATAACCGGTTACAAGTAGTAAATAATTATATATATACTTACTACGTTCTTTTAAGTAAGTAAGTAAGTAAGTAAGTAAGTAATGAATTAAGTAATTAAGTAAGTAAATACATATTTCATTGGGTCGCGATTTTGGCATGACGCGTGTTCGTGTCATTTTTAATAGAATTGTTTATAATATAGAAGGTATTATATGTATGTATATATATTTATATTAGAGAAATGTATAGAGAGCCGCTTAAAAAAAAGAGTCTCGTTATTAAACTCGTGGTCGACTAAATCATCACACTATTAGAGATAATTAGATTATATGTATAACGTTATTTAGTTAAATTCTCTTTGGTCATTTTACGTAATAAGTTAAGATGACGGCAATTCAGCCGAACTAGAATAATAAATATATTATATTTCTGGTAAAGATTCTCTCTTTTATAAGAAGAAGATGTCCTATTTCAAGATTTATAAATTAGCTTCGTTATCATTCGGCTTGATCTCTTTTATTTCTTCCTTTATATTATTATTCTTCTTCTCTTCTCTTCTCCGTAATTTCACTTTTTACATATTTTTCTTTTTTCCTTCTCTCTAACTTTTCTTCTCGTTCTGCTTATTTTTTCTTTTCATTTTTTTTTTTTAAGACCGTTGTTTCTTGTTTCTTTTTTTAAATGTTTCTAATTCCCTAGATTTAGTAAGTAGTAGTTATTAGATAAATCGTAGACGTTAATGAATAATCATATAATAATGTGGTAATAACAACAACAACAACAACAATAATATAATAAATTATCAATTACGCAATAATATAATAATCATAATTTGCGCTCCTATTGAAATTTCCGCTCGAGACGGTTTTCTCGCCATTTTTTTGTGTGTCTTCCCTTCTTTCTTTTATTTTTTTTTTTGTTTGCAATAAGCTTTACCCCGTATTTTATTTTTCTTTATATTTGCGCGATTACTTTATCTCGTGTGAAACTAAACGACTACGAGGGGCATCCTCTAACGTCAATTCTGAATTGTCGTTTTCCGAGGTCTCTGATTATGATGAATCGATTTATTAACAGGATAAGAAGAAGAAATAATATTTTCGAATAGATATCGGATACAATGAAAGGACTAATGGCCGAAGTGGTGTTAGGGGGGGGGGGATCGGGTGGTATAGTTCGAAAGGGAAATAGGAAGAGAGTCGAACGTGCGTTTCTAAGTCCTGTATAAAGTTAACTTTTAATCGTTTTTCTCGTTCTATCCTACAATAAATGGTTATGTTCTTTTTTGTCGGTTTAACATTATATTATATTTTCTTTTTTTCATTTTTTCTCTTTTCTTTTCTTTTTTTTCTTTTTTTTTTCTTCTACATCTTATTATTCCCTTTTCTCGTCTCTCGTTGGACGTTTATTTTTACTACCGAAAGTTTAAGGAACAACAAACTTTCGGTTATTTTTCGTTCCTCCCTTAGTCCCTCTTAAAAATTGTCCTATTCTTTCGCGTCGTGTCCATTCGTAACGACAACGTGACCGAAAAGAAACGCATTTTATGTATTTGAAATTCGTTTATAGATTCGAAGGCCGTAAGTGTAATATAAACGCGAGTGCGTCTCGTCGCGCGATGGGAGATCTTATTTATTTATTTATTTAATTATTTATTCTTTTTTTAATTGATTAATTTTTTTTCCCTTTCCTTTTTTTCGAAGAATTTTTCCGTCTCTCCTTTTTTTTTTTTTCTTTTTTTCTATTTTTTATTCTTTTTATATATTATTTTCTTGAAACTTTGAAATATTATCTTCCTTGATATTCGCTCTCGACGCTCTCTCGTTCCGCGAAAATACATTACATATTTAATATCCTAAATAAACGATCTAAACTGGCTCTGGCAGATACTTCGGTAACGACCGCTACCGCGTCCAGATTCGCTTCTAAGTTTCTCTAAGTGGTCGTGGCTAAACTTTCAACCAGCTTACGAGTACGGCGAATAATCGCTAAATCCCTCTAATTGCGATAAATCCTTGTTATGTTTAGTTTCGTTTAGTTTGCCTCTTTGATTAGGATTCCACGATTAATATACATTCCATCGGTATATTATCTTTTCATTATAATTCACGATAAAATTTCGTATTATAATACCATATCGCGAATTAAAGTATATTCTTCTTTTTTTTTTAATTTAATTTAATTTAAATTAACGTTTTTTTGAACAAAAAATTATTCCTTAATCATCTCGTTTGTATAAAATATATATTTTAAAACAAGTTCTAATCTTTCGCGAAGAAGGAAAAAAAAAAAGGAAGTAGTGATTATTCCCCATAACGTACGACTTTCTGGTTATTATCTCTATTATCGTGTATTTTTTTTTTTTATACATTATATAATTATTATAATAGAATCAGTGTCTATACTCGTCTAATGTTCCAATATTGAGATTGTTACTTTTTCTTTTCTTGCTTTTTTATTCATTTATTTTATTTATTTATTTATTATTTTTATTTATTTTTTTTTTCTCTCTTCGTTTAATTAATTATTTATTTATTTAGTTATTTTTAGTTTAACTCGGCGTGGTCTTCCTGGCACTATAATGCACTTTTAAGAAATCTATATAAAAATATCGTGGAGTTGTCGTGTCCAGCGCGTTGAGTCGCGGAAAGAAAGAGAGAAAGAGAGAGACAGACAGACAGACGGATGAAATATGGAATCAGATTGGCATGAGATAGAGAGAGAAAGAGACAGATACAGAGAATATAAGGAAAAAAAAGAGAAAATATATATATATATATATATATATAAAAAGAAAAAGAAAAGAATTATTTATTTAAAACAAAAAATATATATCAATTTTCGTATTTAATCGAAATAGAACGACTTATGCGAAATGAAAAGGAAAAAAAGAAAGAAAAAAAGAAAAATATAGGATTAGAAAAGTATAAAGATACAGAGATAAGAAGATAGTATATATATAAATAGTATGAGAAAATCGTGACAAACGTGTGTCTTTTTTTGGTCCCGTTTCGCGTTTCGAAACAGCCGCGAAACTGCGCTTTTCAAAAATGAAAATGAATTCGTCGGACATGACAAACCAGGTCCCAAACTTTCGTCTCGCAAATAAACGAATAAGACGAGTTGCGCGAGGGCGAGACAACCCCTCTGTTACGTTCGCTAGTTTTTATTTTATTTTATTTCGCATCTTTTTTTCTTTCTTTCTTTCTTTATTTCTATCCTTCTTTTTTTTTCTTTTTAATTTTTTCTCTTTCACTTTCCTTTTTGAACTTAATTGTCTCGCGATCGTCTCGCCCTCGCGTGAAAGATTGCGCATTCATTGTCGATCTCCAATTGCGCTCGCAGAAAGAAGTCTTGGCTACGTTACACGTTTCTCTCTCACATTTGTTCATTTATTTATTTATTTATTTATTTTTTAGGCGGTGAACGTATCGATGCAACGAACGTTAAAGTCGGGGTCCGCCGACGGGGCTCCGATTTATTTTCCTTTATAAATCACTTCTATGTTTCCTTTCCACGCTACTTCTTTTTCTTTCTTTCTTTTCCCCCTGCCACCCTCCCCCTCTTTCCCACCCTTTTAATTCTGTTTCGTTGCTTTTTCCCCTCCCCATTATACTTTACCTTACTTCGCTTTACTTTTCGTTTCTTCTTTTTTTTTTCTTTTCTTTTTTTTTTCTTTCGAAGAAAACAACGAACGCGCACGTACGCCATTGCCTTTCTTTCCTTGACTTTTCTTTTGCGTTTCTTTTCCTACACTTTCCCATTTACCCTGTGGCACGTTTCCTTTCCCTGAATCCCCAACCCCGATTCTCCACCCCCCATTCCCTCCTCATCCTCATCCTCCTTCTTCCCTCAGTTTTGTTTTTTTCTATGTTGTTTCTTATCCCCCTTTTTCTCGCTCGTTCTTTTCTTTTTTCCTTTTTCCCCATCTCCCTCTTTTTTCTCCCCTTTTCCTCTTACCAATCGCCTTCTCTCAATATAGATACGCATTATATCGATACACGTCGAAACTTAAAGTCCTTGAGGGATAATTACTAGATATTGTATTATTATTATTATTATTATAATATAGCTTTGGCCGATTCAATTTTATTTTTTTTTATACTCCTTTTCAAATGTGTTTATGTATTTGTATACTTACACGCGCGTGCATGTGTTCTTCTTTTTTAAATTAATTAATTAATTAAGATTTAGATACGTGTGCCGAGTTTCTCTTAGTTTAAAAAAGTGTCTTTCTTTTTCGATTAGAAACGTGACCTTTTCTTTTATTATCTTATTCCTTTTCTAAAAATCTTTTTTACCCGTCCGCCATGTACATGTATGTATGTATGTATGTATATATATATATATATGTATGTGTGTGTGTGTATTTATGTATATATTTATGTATACGCTAATAATATTAAATATGCTTCGTAATCCTACGGACGTTAAAGCGGATAAGATCACTTTGCGTTTATTCTCTTTATGTTCCAGAGCACTTCGGAGCCGTGTAAAAATACTGCAACCACGATCAATGAATTTCTCTTTTTTTCTTCCTATCGTCTTTGTTCGAACGAAATACTTGTAGAGAAAAAGAGATAGAGAAAGAGAGAGAGACAGAGAAAGAGAGAGGGAAAGAAAAAGAAAAAGAGAGAGAGAGAAATTGAGAGAGAGAGAGAGAGAGAGAGAGGAGAAAAAGTTCATCGGCAAACATATACATATACACATATGTATGCATTTATGTATATGTAACCATCGTAACCAATCTCGAACGCATAAACTAAAATTTGAATTTTTCTTCAGTAGGAAATAAATTTATCGAGAGCATCGAACTAGAAGTAGAAATATTTTCTCTCAACAGTATTTTGATTCGTCTCCGATCTCCAGGAATCCCTTCGAGTAACTCGAAATGGCTCTCGTCGTACGAATCATTCATACGAAGTATGACGAGATGTCGGAACCGAATACGAAAAGTTTCTCTTCATTTTTTTTAATCTACTTCTTTTTAAACATCGAAGATACAAGCGGCGACGAAAGGTGCAAAAAGATATTCCCGTTTTGCCTTTTTCTTTTTTCATTTTTCCAACAATCTTTTCGCGAACGACTCCCAACATCGATCACGTCAATTTCACGCATTCGTATTTGTCAACGAGAGAGATGCGCAAACTATATAAATATTATAATCTTCTTTCTTTACGTGTGCACTTATTATCTGAATTCTAAAATGTTTGTTTATTATATGAATAGTTATGTAATATCGTTCTAGTTTTTAATTGTAGGTAATAAGATAAAAAAAGATCGGCTACCATTTTTTTTTTTTAGTTGCTCGTTATGCGTACAATCGTATATATATATATATATATATATATATTTTTTTTTTCTTTTTATTTCTTTAATAGTTTGCGCATCGATTTGAGTTGTATCTTATCGAAAGTAGATTTAATTATTAGGATTATCAAATAATTAGAAGAAAAATATTTCATGAAAAATATTTGAAAAAAAAAATGATAGAAAATGAATGAATGATCCTATTACGAATGAGAAAAATTGTGTGAATTGGTCGAGCATAGAGCGAGTTTATCTCGAAAGGATACGATTCCTTGAACGCAATATTTAGCACATCCCATTGGAGCTAATAACACACACGCAGCATCGTGCCCGTCCGCGAGTACTAGACTCAAGGTGTTAGAGAGAGATATAAGGTGGAGCTTTTCCGTGTTGTCGAATATATATTTAATCGATAAGAAAAAAGTTTTCAGGCACGCAAGTTGGGCAGGGTAACAGCAGCACGCAGCAGCGATTGGAAGAAACCGGCCTCGAGTTTCCTCCCTTCTCTTTCTCGGTTCGCACAGAACCGATATAATTGTACCCTCGTCTCTCGCAAGGTCGGTTGGTCGATCGATCGATCCGAATCAATTAATCGATAATAACATTTCCGTCCTTTGCATTATTTAGGCGAATAGGCAACGTCAATCGGTAAAAGGATTGGACCCATCGTGAAAGAGGAGGAGGAGGAGGAGGAGGATTGGGAATTGTAGCGGTTTTCTCTCTCATAAAAGAAGTACCATAGGAGAAAAAGGCGATGTGATCGTCGTTTGGTAGAAAGGATGAGAGAGATAGAGTGAGAGAGAGGGGGGGGGGAGAGAAAGGGAGGTGGTCTCGAAGGATCCCCGTTTAGTAAGAATGCTGCGGCTGCAGTGATGAAACTCAGCTGTGCGCGGACGTATCCGAGCCTTGGCTGTTGCCGAGTCCACCCATGCCGGCTTGTGAGGTCAGCCTGGTGGTCGACTGCGAGGTTGTGCTCATCATCGACGTCATCGTTGTCGTCGTGGTCGTCGTCGTGGTCGTAGGGGCCGTCGGTGCGGCCGTATGCGTGCTGCTCGAAATGGTAGCAACGACGGTTGAGTGGCCGTGATGTCGACCAGTTTCCGGGACGAGGTGAGGCGTACGACTAGAGACAGGTGGTAGGACCGGACTAACCGGCCAAGGATGAAGGGACATCGTGCTGGGTGCACTCGGGCCACTAGGCACGCTTCTCGAGTGCGGCAGGAGGGAAGGCGAGTTTGCTAAATTCGCCAAGGGATGATGACCGGAGGCGTTGCCGCCAGCCAAGACGCCATGGGACATGCCCAAACCGAGGCTGTTACCGGCGGAGACGCCACCACCGGCACCACCGGAAGACGCCATCGCCACCGCCGTGTCCGGGTGCAGGAAGTTGCGTCTCTGCTCCATACGCTCGGCATGTTGCGCTAGGCACCGCGTCAGCTCCTCCGGCAGCATCTCCAGTTGGCTCTGCAACGTGCTCAGTTTCTCCTCTAGGCTTACCAACCGGTCCTCCACGCTCACGAGCCGTTCCTCTAGCCCGTCCTGTCGCGTACTCATATCCGAGACTATCTCGTAGACCGTGTTCTGCGTCTAGTAGGTTTACACCGGCAACAATAATAACAATGCAAACGCACACCCCCAACCATTCCTCGTTAATCCAATGAATTATTTTTATTCCAAGAAATTTTAATCAGATTCATATCACGTCGTCACTTTCGATCGTAGCAAAAGGCGAACTATCTATATTTATATATATAGATACGTGTGTATATATATGCATCTAATACCTTGTGTTTATTCTTATAATCACTCACGGCCAATTCCACTTTCGCTTTTTACCACGATCGATGGACGCTATCTTTTCCTTTACTACCTTGGCCATGTCCGTTATCGTATTAGCGTTATCCATTAGCTTCCGTTGATCCATTTTTACTTTTCTCAGTCTGCAATCAAATTTAATTTTAAATAGTACGTATGTGAGAACGCGAATTAACTTACGTTCTCTTACCATTAAACATTACAAATAATCGACTTTTACCGAAATTTTTTTTCAACTAATTTCAAAATCAACTTACGCGTATATCGCCAGTAGGAATTTTCGTTGATGCGTTCGAACACGGCCAGGATTGACGCGTTTTACTAAGCGTGTGTGCTTATAGATCAACCATGTTTCTCTTAACACGTTTGCTGCGGCATTTTTCAGCTGAAATCGTAAATTAATTTCAATGCACTTTCCATCATTTAATTGTATAGACGTTCAAACATTTTCTATTTTTTCCTTAAGACGAATGTCTCTGGTCGAAAAGTTGAGAAATATGTGCACGACTTTGTAATGCTCGTCGATAAAACACAGCACGTAGGCAACTATATCAAATCACTCCTTGATATTTGCAGGGTTTATAAATATCAGAGGCTAGTGATTATTTCAGTAGTCGCTTGCTAAAGGCTTTCTTGCTTCGATCCGGATGTACAGTCGAGAAAAATGCCCTACGTAGCGGCCGTACGAACTTATCGTAACGAACGACTTTCAACGACCCAGTAGAACCTACCGATCGATACGCTTATGTTCTGATCGAAAATTAAACAAGTCCGACTTAAAGTTAGTTCCGTTGTTTTAACAAACAATGAAGTTATTAAACTAATTACGGAATATCCAATAATCGTTTGTTGTTACCTTTCGTCACGATTCTAATCTAAAATTGTTACCGACGAGGGTCGCCAAAGAGTTGACAATTTATTTTTATTTAAATGAATTTTTTAATAGAACCAAGTTCACCTCGTATTTCAACTCTTTCATCGCATCTTTCTTCTTATTTTTATCATACTTTTTTCTTCTTTATTTTTCATCCTTAATGGCATACTTTTCTGTACTCCCGCGACTACGAAATATTTGTTTCATATTTCAAGGTGGTAACAAGTAAACGAGCTCTTACCCTTTTTGTTAGCTGCGTGTCCATCATGAAGTTGTGAACGTGCTTCTCCGCCCTTGTAAGTTCCAGTTTCCTGGAAACAACAGCGACGAGCAAAGCCGTACAACCTGCCCCCTGAACAAAAAAATAAGAAGGATTTCCTTTTTTAATATTTCTCCTTTCTTACAAATAACATAGAAGAAAAAGAACAAGAAAAGAAACTATAATGGTAAATTTTTATATTAATTCCTTTCAATGGTAAAAAATATGGGAATTTATAAATTGAAGGCATAGGCAAGACGTATGATTATTATCGAATCGATAATACTAGATTATTCTATCTTTTATTCTTTCGATCTTATTCTTGTGCATACGTAAGCAAATCTTCAGATTAAGTTCTTAGACGATTCGATCTAGAAGACGAAGAAAAGTGGGAACAATAAAATGATCGACACGTGGATTAATGCATCCCATTTATAGATGAGAAGGATAAGTCTAAATCATAAAAATGTAACTTTTTAAGATCAATTGTTTTGTACCAAATGTTGTAATAAATCTAAACATTATATTTGTTAATGTCGACAAAGGGCTGAGGATCAAAATGGTCTAATCGTAAGTTAGGATTTTAAATGAAATAATTTGTACCTTTCTTTATTTTAAATTTTCAATTATTCAAGTGATCTACAATGATCTAGTCATTTTTAATGACTTTAAGTTATTTTGATTTCCACGCTCTCATATATATTATGCATTCACCTAATTGAACTTTAACGGGAAATTAGCTTCTTGCAACGTAATCCTTCTGGCTAAATTGTTTAATGCTTCTTCGTGGTGTTGCCTTGAAAATTTGTGCCACTGAATTAGCAGTTGGAGCATGGTAAAACAATAACGATAAGTAACTGGTATATTCTCTCACGGCGAGGAAGATTAGACTCGGCATGAGTACAGTTTGTTATGGCCCGGCTGGTTGCCCCTTTAAAACGTTTTCGCCGACTCTACTTGACTCTACACTGCTGTTACTATCGTAAACCCTCTTCGATATATCTAAGAATGTCTAGGATTGCTGTTTTCGTGCCAGCAAAATTCTATGCTCGAGATATAAACTACACCCAAAGTTATTGTGCTTTTCCAATTAAAACTATTTTTATTATATATTTATATTAAATGTTAGAAATATGAAAAAATACTTCGTTAATAATTTATGACGTATTTTCAATAAATTAAAACAATTTAAATGATTTAAAAATGTGTCTATACACCAATAATTGAATCGTATTATAATTTTCTTCTTTCAGCAGATATAAACCATATTGTGTAATTAAAATTTTATTAAAATTGAAATAATTAATAAAATAATATAAAAAGTAATAAAACATTTGTTGTGTCATTGCGTACTTGCTTCGGTACATAATTGCATCGTTAAACAATGCAACATTTTCATCTAAAATTTCTTTTTTGTATCCTCACAAGGAACAAAGTTATAGTCCGGCTCAGTTACAACCTGTATAAACGACAATCATTTCTTTTCTTCTTTTATAGATATGTCATAAATCATGGACGAACTATACTTGGGGTAGATTTATTAATTCATTTCGCTTATCATTTGAATTCGCTTTGAAATAATAATAACATAATAAGTAAAATTGAGTGCATCAATGAAATATTGCAATTGAAATCGTTAATCTTGAATTGAATTAATTAGTGCCACATGCACCGGCGTAGATATACCTAATCTATATCTATTTTTCATTTTCCCTGGGTATCGATAATGCATCACGATGAAGATTAATGAACGGTAAAGCGGAATTCACGATGTCGTCATTGAAGCCTATTAGATATCCTTCTAAAGAGATCAAATGGATCATGGTAAACGACTTGGAAACGAAAATTCGTGTCTGGCCTCCGGCTTATATCAATCAATCATGTCCTCGCCAAGCTGTTTATTTATTTTGACGATTACGCGGGGAAGTGGTATCTTCCTCAATTTCACGATATCATTATTTGTTTTTTCAAACGTATATCTGTGCAAACGCATATGAATTTCTGTTTCGTGTTATTTCACTTAAAAATATCACATAATTGAAAAAATAAATTTACTTCAACTTGATTTCAAACGAATCTATAATTACATTTATCATATATTCTCTAACGCTAATAATAGTAATATTAATATAATATATAAATAATATATTATATATTATATAATATATATTTTAATATTCAAATTTTTGAATAGATTACTTTATTCCTAGAGTATTTGATTATAATTAAACAATTATTTTCAACGACAAGATTATAATAATATTATGCATAGTTTCAAAGGCTAAACATCGAATTTAATTAAGTTGCAACGGTTTACCATCGATTTTACTTTCATAAATGCATATGCAGCGTGCATATTAATTTTTATTAAAAATCAGAATAATTTATTAGAAAAAAATATAAAATTAAATTAGCACTTTCTTTCGGAAAATTTAAAATTAAGGCGCGCTGCGTTATCATGAGAAATCATATATATATAAGATGAAAATGTAAGAATAAAATCTTACCATCATTCCGGTGGAAACCGCTATCCCTCGACCGCAATACGTGTTCGGTACGATGTCACCGAAACCAACGCTGAGAAACGTGATGGCGATCAACCACATGGCATTAAGAAGATTCGCATGTTCTTCGTCGTGGAACCTACATTGGGAAATATTGAAACGTGATATGATTGCCAATACAATAGATCATTCACATAAACAAACGAATCATTTTATTATTATATTTTCTTCAATTCATTTTTAGATTTGCCGCATTATGTACGATACAGTATATTAAAAAAAGAAAAAAAAAAGAAAACTGACATAAATATTCGCTCGATTTTCAAATATGAAATGAGCATTTATGAAAAGAGTATTTCCCAGCAACCCTGAGACAAATATATTTTTCTAATGATTTCCAAATACCCATAATAACATTTCTAACGTAAAATTTTCTTAAATTATGATTTATGAATAAACTTACACGAGAGAATAATATATAATTGATATTAAATAATAATTTGAAATATTATATTATATAGTTTTCTTATATTGTTTCACGTGACATTTTGTGAAATGCGATGTTACTGAGAAACACCCACATATACGTAGTATATAGAGACACACAAAGCAAAGAAACTTATCGATCGTATCGGGCACAGCTTATCCGTTTTCCTCGGGAGCCCTTTCTCTTCTATTTACGATTTACATGTCTAACACGATTCTCGGATTAGAATACGCGGATTCGATTCCATTCAAGATTCGTAGAATCGAAATATGTCGAGCATCGTTGGTCTGATGGGGTCCAAGGGTTGATAGGAATTGCTACCCTAGCAGAATGTTAATGTCATTTATTATTATATGATTTGAAGAATCCTAAGCTTTCCCTTTTTTTATTTATAGAAATGTTTATCTTATATTTATAGAGTAGGTAAGGTTATCATTTTATTTGATTTCCCTATCAATGAATATTATTTACGTATATTTTCTCGAATAATCTAATTTGTTCTTTAACTTTTTGTAACCTTTTTAAATCAGAGCCAACGATAAAACGAAGAATTAAATTAAATTCTCATTAACATATCACATAAAGTTCGACCTTCGCTGGATGATAGATATAAAATCATGGAAAATGATATAAAAGCTATTAATTGCCCTATTCAGTTTATAAGTTAATTTCATCGAGAACAGACTTTCAAACGTGTAATTATATTTGTTAATTATCGTGTACATATATATAGGTACGTACGTGTTCTTATTTATATGATTATACATATATCATACATGCATGTTTTGGTATGTTTAAACAATAGATTGAAATTCGTGATAATTATTAACATTATTTAATACGTAATAAACTTACAATTAAACATTTTGTTTGTAATGTTATATTAGTTATCAATACAAAATCTATATTATGTAAAAATTTACGAATGTCATTATTAAAACGTTTTATGTTAACTTAGAAATATGTTAAATCTTTGGGAAAGGATCACCGTTCGAAATACGATCTAACGTAAAGCGAACATTTTCTTCGAAAGGGAAATAACGAAGAAAGCTAAAGTTCTCCAGAGACACGTTTTCCCAAAGTTTCTTGAAAAGGAACAATGGAAACTTTTGTATACCTACATCTGCGTTCAGCTTCTCTCGTTTTACAAGAGAGCAATTCTCAAGGGGTTGCAAGGATATCCAAAAATGAAGAAGAGGGAAGACTCGTTCTGTTCGGTCTTGCATACCTTGCCATATCACTCGACTATTAAACTTTATTAGCAGATTTGCCTAAATACTTTTTATACTATAAACAAAAAGAAAGAAGAAAAATTGAATAAACTAATAGAAACAAAAGAAGAACAACCTAATTGATCTCTCAAAGGTATTTTAATTCGATTAAATATATATAATGTTTTGTTTTTTTATCAACAAATATAAATTGATCTTAAACAAACACCCTGGGAATTCCTATTTGCTTCTGATAATCAAATGACCTTCGACCGGAGAAAATGTGGAAATCGATACAACGAGGTTATCGATTTTTCTCTGATTGATTTCATTAAATCTTAACAGCGATGTAAATTCTCTTAGAATTCAATCGTATTTTCGTGCATGAGATAAACACGAAGCAGCATTGGGTACAGGGGTATTCCTATTGATTCTAAATTATACAAAATTCTATATTTATAGGATTCAATTAAGATTAGGAAGTTTAAGATTAGTTTTCCAGTTTAACCAGGGACCGACAGTAAAACGTGGAAGATTAATGAAGTAGAAGAATTTATGTTTTCAAGAAATTCGAATCGTTTGTTAGAAAGAAATGGCATATCGGTCAGGGACGTGTCTAGCGTATTACAAGACGTCGTTTTCCTGATTTCATAAGGGTGAATATCGAATTAGGTTGAGGAACGATCTACCCAATATATAAATAAATTTTTTGCTTTTTATCTTTCTTTTTTTTTTTTTTTTTAATGTATGTGAGGTGAATTTTTGTTATCCTTGGTGATCGTCCTGAAGATTTATCAGAAAGTTCTAAGTAGTTACGTACCAACTATAAATATTTCAAGGGTGATAAATATTTCAGTTTAAGGGAAAAAAGCGGAAGAAGTTTCGTCCATTAAGTAGGCCAAAGAGAGAAAAGGAAGGAATAAACGAAGGAATAAGAAGAGAAGAAAAGGGATAAAAGGGAAAAGCATAAGAAGGGAAAATAAGGGAAATATAAGAACAAAGAGAAATGTAACGAGAGAAAGAGAAAGAAAAAAAGAATGAAAGACAGTGAAACGGAGAAAAAGGAACAGGCCGGAAGGTTTTATCGAGCCGGTAGAAAACGTCACTTGAAAATGGGTAGCAGAAAAGGAGCAAACATTTTTGCTTATACATGCGAGTAAAATCTTTAAGTTATAGGGAATTGTGAAACTAACGAAATGAAAATAATTTATTTACCGGAAATAAATCGAATAGATTGAAATGATTTATTTTTTTTTTTTAACGATTATTATTAATTGAACTAAGGGAGAACGAAATCAAAAAAAAAAGAAAGTTAATAAAAATTGTTCGTGCCATTGGTATATTATTTCTTTTTTAAAGATTATAAATCGAATAAATTGAAATAATTTATTTTTTCAATTATCACCGATCGTTAAAGAAAACAGTAATAAAAACAAAAATGGAACGGATTGTAATCGTATTTAATTTATTTTGATTAAAACCTATATGACATTTATAAGATCGATTATTTCTTTTCCTTCCACGGCTCTGCCATTTACGTAAGAATTTAATTACGCCGATTGGAATCTCGAGAGATTCACTATTGATACCGAGCGATCATTTTAACGGTACAATGTCGAAATTTCCGATTTAATTCCTCGTTATCGGTCGACTAAGTAAGACGAACTCTGCGAACCTTCTCGAATTAATACCTCGTAAAGACGATTCGTGTCTGTTACGTATTTTTTCTTACGGCCAAACGATTCGTTCGTGTTTACTTATTTCAATTCGTGAAAAAAAGGGAACAAGTATCTTTTACTTATATTCGACGGCACGAAATCAAAATTACCCAACGAATACTGTAATTTCAATGTCTACGATTTTATAATCTTCGTGTTTAGAAGTACTTTCGAGATATATATTCTGCAAAAAAAATAAGAAAAAGTACTCTAGACGGTTTGATAGATTATAATTTATGGTACATACCCACGTGTATCGTATTAAATAAGACTTAATCTTAAATCAACGTCAATATCAAATATCGAATTTATATACTAGAAGTTGAGAATATTCTGTAAAATATATTATATTCTTGCTATAATTCATATAATTAGGCTAAGTTATACAAAAATCTACAAATCTTTGAAATTAAGATATATTTCATTAAACACAATACCTATAACAACTTTTACATTATATTAGATGCTACAATTAATTCGGTGCCTTGATATTAAATTCATTGTATTAAAATTGTAGTTCGTTTTTCGTTAAATAATTTGGCAGTTGTCTGAAAGATATGGGGACCAAAGTAATCACATAATAATGGAAATCATTTCGAAGAATAACAGAATATATGTGATAACACTTTATAAATAAATATTACATTATTTAAAAATAAGACATCGAATTAATTTGCTAAAATATTATTTACGATTCATTACAATTACACAAGCTACAGTTATATATATTTTTTATGCATATAAATTACAATTAAAAGTAATAGAAAAATGTATTAACTATCCGTTACAATTTAGCCTAATTATCTTTCTACTTTAATAATAATTATCTCTTTGTAATTAAATTAAAAAGAAAGAAGAAAATAAAAAAAAAAAACAGAAATGATTTACCTTTCGCATTGTCGTAACGTCCACGAAGCAATGATCCATAATGAGACCATGAAGACCAATAAGACGGTACCCGGGCAAATGGTCATCAGGGTCTTCAAGACGAAACGTGTGTTGAAGTTAATACGATTCAAAGCCCCGATGCTGCGAGAGGATGCATCGGTGAAAAGCTTCGAATGTAGTAACATCACCCGACAGATGAGGTAGAGTCTAAGGAACATCGGTAGCGAAAGGGTTACGTCATATGGCACCCACTTGGAGCCTATATCACCGCCCTTGTTCGCCAACTTGGTCGTCCATAGGAAATAATACTCCCCGGGTATCGGATGGATCGCGCAGATCAACAACTCCACCGAAATCTGGGAGATCCTTTGCCAGGTCATCGCGATCCTCCAATCGTCCGCGCAGTTATCGATCATGAACAACTGCCGGTAACATGAAACAAAGAGAACGAGAGAGAGCAAGTATTACGGGAGATCTGACATATCAGCAATATTACGTTTGATCGATGTGTGTTTTCTCTATCTATCTATCTATCTATCTATCTATGGTATCCTATCTATGTTCTATGCATGAAACTGACCGAATGTTTTTAATAACTTTATATTACGTTTTCCAGATCACACCAAAAAATAATGATTTATACAACTTCAGTTTTGTTTTTGAAATATTATATAAGAGGAGTGCATTAGTGGATTAGAAAAATTGTTGAGTAGACGATGGAAATATAGAATGTAACATAAAAATATGAATGTACCTTTTGATGTACTTTCCTTTTTGAAATCTTCTGTTGGACTGATACATTGTCATATAGAAAAGTTTTTTTTTTTATTGAATCTTGTTTACATGGCTTTTCGAAAGTTGCGCATGTGTGTAACGAAAAAATTAATTGTAATAAATAGAAATTAAAATTATATAAAGTTCTGATTTTAGTATTATTTCAATTTTTATGTAATTGTTTAAACTAATGTGTATTTGTTTTAACGTTCCTGTGTAGTGGTGACTTCGGAGGGGGAAATTTTCATCGAAAAGAATATCACATCGAAATCATTTTATATTTAAAGTATGTTAATAAGTATGTAATGTTTAAACCAGTACATATATGTTTAAACAATCTGAAATATAAAGAGAGTGCATTAGAGAATTAAAATAATCGTTAATTAATCGATAGAAGTGTCTGTTGTCTAAAAGCTCGGAGTATATGTTTTGAGATCCCTCCTCCTCGAAATCCACCGTTGAAATGAGTCCTTGTTCTCTGTTAAAGTTCTTTTGGTGAAAGTTGTTTATAAGACTTTTTGAACGTTGCGCATGTGTATAAAGGGAATCATACACCTAATACATAAAATTTAAGATTGTAACGTTCTGATTTTAGTATTTTTATCATTTTTATGTAATTATTTAACCGTTCCTGCGCAGTGGTGAGTTACAATACTAAAATCGGAACGTTATAATTTTAAATTGTATGTATTAGGTGTATTATTCTTTTATACACATGCGCAACGTTCGGAAAGTCATATAAACAACATTTAATAAAAGAAATTTCATAGAGGACAATGACTCAGTGCAACGATAGATTTCGAAGAGGACGGTACATAGATCATATATTCCGAACTTTTAGGCAACAATAGACACTTGTATCGATTAATTAACAATTATTTTAATGCACTAATGCACTTTTCTTATATTACAGCTAAATTGTACCCTCGAAGTCATCACTGCACTGGAACATTAAGGGCTTATAGGACTACATGATATATTTTGGAAAATCAATCATTTCAAAATAAGAGATATTTATAGTTAAATATATCATGAAATTAATCTAACGTTCGTCCGATTTTTTGGAGTATAACAAAAAGATTTATAAAAATTGGTTATTTTATTTATACCTTTGGTTAATCTGTTTTCAAAATAAATGATCAATATATAGAGTTAAATATCCAGTACGTTGCATTGATATTTAATCCTATAATGCAATTCTGATACTTTTATAAATACTGACCATTTAAAGTATTGATAAATTCTTTTTTTTTTTTTATTTAACCAAATATTTTTTATTATAATGACCATTGTTTTTTTTATAAAATAATGATAAACACATTGTATTAAAATACTAATCATATATATTTGATTTCTCTCATTTTAATTTATATTAACTTTTTAATATCTCCTCGTAAAAATTTCCATTCTTTTTTTATTTTCTTTTTATAGAATAATATAAATAATGATATGAGATTCTAAATATTACTCGAATAATTTTATGATACACCATAGCATATGTTAAATTGTTCTCGTTCGTTGGACTGGAAAGATTTTTTATTTCAGTTTCTTCTATACCGTTGTTTTTGTTTTTCTCTGTTTCTAAACTTATTCTCTCGAATATTGTTCACACATGAACGAGTAAACGATACATAATACGTATTGTGAAGCTCGCTTATATTCGATGAGAGAAAACGGTGTGTTCGTGCTCACGCGATTTAATATATCCGTGTTGGTCGTCGATATTTGTCCGCAGAAAATGCCGCATCACGAAGAGTGTGACGACGGTCCTCTTGTGCCAACTTGCCGCATCCCCTTTTTTCTTTATCTCGAGCGAGGAATTGATGATAATATGTTATATGTGTAAAGTATTATCGAATCATGGGGCAATTTTTCTAAACTAACTATTTCTGCTTAAAATCATTTTTTTCTTCCTCGTTCGATATCTCTTCCTACATTTATTTATATAATAAAATAAATTATACGTGCTGGTAATTATGAAATTGGACTGAGTTAACGAAACAAATTGAAACAATGAATTTTATGATTTATTTTCTATACAAATTATTTCCAATTATAAAATAAATTATGAAATATTAATTTGTATAATTTTGTTGACTTAGATTAACTCTGTAATAATTACACGTAAGAAGAAAAATGTAAATGCTATTAACCATTTCATTTATCATGATACTCGATAACGATCGGTATGACGTATCAGCAAGAAATCAGAACTGACTTAATGGTGATGTTTTTCCAAATGCTTTTTGTGAAATGGTTGGCTCATATACCAGAACCATTTCTAACATAACACAAGGCTACGAATACTTTTCGTGATTCTTGAAAGATGCGTTTTCTCGTCTTTTGCATATGATTATCATAATACACCGTGGATGCTCCATTCTTCATGAAGTTGCATGGCAAGCGTAGATAAGTACCAATATTTATACACTCACGCATATACATATACACATACACACACACGTTCTCTTTCTCTTTCTCTCTCCTTCTTATCTTTTTCTTTTATATTATTTTTTCTTCTGCTTTTCTTCTTTTCCAACATTTCTCGAGAAATTTCCGCGAGTAGATACGTACCTATATATGAGTGGAAAGAAGAAATGATAAAGTAAGAGATAGGAAAAAAAAATAGAAAACAAAACAAAACAAAACAAAAAAGAAAAAGTAAAAAAGAAAGAAAGAAATATGGAACGAAGAAAGATTGGTCGAAAAATTGTACCGATATTTTATGCGGCAACCTTGATGGATTTATCATGCAACACTACGCACGAATTTTCTTTTTTCTACGTCGCGTATCGTACAATAATTTTCTATAAAATCGCAAAAAGGTATCCCGTGTTTCCATCATGATTCCTTTTTAATTGGACAAAAATATATAAATGCTTTCGCACTGTTACCTTTTTTTCTTTTCTTTTCTTTTCTTTTCTTTGAGAACAAAATTACAAAGGTTACCGATTATGAATAAACAAGAAAGGGGAAGTGCCATGGAAAAGGAGAGAAAGAGAGAGAGAGAGAGAAAAAAAAGAAGAGAAGTGATGGATCAAAGTTTATTGCACTACGGTAAGAGTTCCGTCATCACAAAGGTAAAGTAAACACGTTTCAAGATCTGAAGAGGAGAGAGAGAGAGAGAGAGAGAGAGAAATGGCTAATACAAAGCAATTGGATGCAGAGGAATTCCCGACGCTACAGTCAAAGGATTCAACATTCGAAATTGAAAGAGATAGACACACTCGAGAATCATAGTAGAGTTAGAAAAATGAACTTAAACGAGTAAAAATTTCTTTTCGAATGTTCTAGAAAGTAAGTAAGTAAAAAGTTTCAATTACTTGTCAAAGAGTAATAAAATCTTTAAAAGAGTATTGAAATTTGGATATTTCAGGATTTAGCTGGTCATTTTATGAATTAACGTTTTCTCACAAAGTAACAACGCTAACATATATAGATGTAAATACATATTCGAAATGGAATAATAAGTAGAGGCTTTAAAATGTTGAGTTGGTCGAATCTCGAGGGATAACAATTTTCGAGTTTTCTCATTAACAACTACGGTTGAATATCAACTCGGGCCTTTGTCGACGGGAGATGTTAACTCATACGATATTAAAACGCGAGCTCTCTTTTTCTCTCTCCTTCTCTCTCTCTCTCTCTCTCTCTCTCTCTCTCTCTCTTTCTGTTCATATTACAATATAATCGCAAATGTCTCATCCCCGAATGTACAAGGAATATTGCTATGCGATAGAAAGAAGGCCAGTTTCAGGTATCCAGTTTAAACGTAAACACGTAATGGTGGTTGTATTTGTAACTATAGTTGTAGGTAGTGGTAGTAGGTAGTGTAGTGGTAGTGGTACTGGTTGTATTAGCGATAGTGGTGCTGGTAGTAGCAGTTCGGCGTACGTCGCAGCAGAAATCCAGTGCTTTTAATTAGAAGCGAAATAGAACCCCGTTTATTTCAAGGGAGAGAGAAAGAGAGGGTGAGACAGGCCAATAGAAAGAAAGAGAAAGAGAGAGAGAGAGAGAGAGAGAGAGAGAATTAGTGGGTTGTAGAGAATACAGAGAGAAGTGGTCGCCTGCAGGTTCTATAACGACCTATCGTAAAATCTCTACAATGACCTATACTGGCATATGCTATACCATTGTCAGGTAACACATTGCAAGTATGTCATATAGTGAATTTTATGACATATAATTCGTTACGGAGGTAACGTGTCACTGCAATATCGGTGATAGTATCATTCGATTTCTTCTTTATTGCGAGACGCATTGTTTAGTTTGGATCAATCTTCTTTCTCTCTCACTCTCTCTCTTTCTATCTCTATCTCTCAATTTATTTTTGTCATACAATATCTTTTATAACTGTGTATTCCAAATTCCTTCTATTAACACCTTAACGATCGGATCATTATTTTGATTTATTACTTCGAAAATGGGAAAAGGAAAATATGATGACTTCGTAATAAAACAAATACTGTGATCAATTTAACGATATTTCGAATAATGTGTAAGAAAAAGAATAATATTTGATTTGTCGTAAAAATTTGTTGATTAGGTATTAAAAACGTGTTTTAAATCGCTCGAAATTTTTCTTACTCGTTTGAAATATTTCTAAGTTCGTCATTTTATATGATTTTATACCAATAATATTAATGTTTTG